TGAATATAAATTACCCGTTCTTTAAGCGTGAGGGCAGAGAGTCAGTGATCGACCTAATGGTTGATGCTGTCTCTGTTGCTTCATTGTAGCCATGGTAATCATTTCAGAGCCGTTCCAATCAATGTGATGTTTACAATCAAACACTTGCGCTACTATAAGTGCCAGGTAGTTACGCTGCGGAAAACATACCTTGTGTTCGTAAATACGGGTCCCAAGAGCTGTAGGCAACTGAGGTTCGTTTAGTGACGTTAGTTTGTTGTTCTTTAGGTATGACATCGTTTGTGGGCGATATAGTTCCTATGTGCTCACCTCAGGAGTTTCTTGCATGCAGGACGGGAAGTAGACTTTCCGCATGGTGATTTCTCCCCTAGGACTGAAACCTTGTGGTTGGTCTTGAAATCTGGAACCATTTTTTCTCAAACCTAACTGCGTATCTATTTGACTGAAATAATAACTATAAGTAAATCAGTTCGTTCGTTAGCAGCTCATCGCTGCTGTCGTAAGAAAAGACACATTAAAAGAGTTCAGACGGCGACTACTTTTTAGGCCTCAGGAGGGTCGCTGTCGTAGTTGAGGATAGTTTTGCTGGGGCCACCATCATGCCAAGAAGTGACAGACTATCTCCTGCCGCTTCTTAAGGAATAAATGTTGTAGCTGAGGAGACACCCATGGACTTGTGATACAGTTCTCCAATGAAGATGTCATCCTCATGCCGAATCCGCACTTTCAATCGGAAAGTTCAGATAACATTTTCAACGGCCAATCCTAATGTTTGCGTGCACATTTAGTTGCCCTTAACCTGTTGGGAATGTGTCGTGCTAATACTACTCTGACCCTCGTTCACCCCTACCGCCTCACCCTCGTTGATTAACATTCATTCCTACCTTCTCATACTCGTTGACTAGAATTCAACCCTACCTTCTCACACTCGTTGATTAAGGTTCACCTCTGCCTCCTAACGAACGCTTGCTTATTGTCTACGTTATTCTAACCACTCTCTTTGGGGTCGGCGGTCGAACGCTCGCGCACTGCAGTTCTTGTACGGCAATTATAAGATGAATAAAACCTATTCTAGGGTACTCGATTCTTCATTCTCCTCGACTGTTTGGCTAGTGCGTACTGAATAACATGACTATATTCCAATCACGACAGAATGTTTAGTATCAAACTGACATAAGGTTGTAAGGCAGAAGATAAGCATTTCTAAAACATTTATTGCTGTTGGTGCAGGTTTCCAAATTCCAGGTCATGTGGTATAGGAGGATTTATCGAAAAGCAGGATATCCGCGAAAGGTAAGCAAATATCGGCAAAGTTCTTTAAGATGAAAATGTGTGGTATATTTTTTTTTCAAAACTGGGGTTCCAGCTTGTTTTCAGAGATATGAGTAATGCAGAGGTATATTCACTTAATGCATAGCGTTTATAATTTAGTAGATAATCGGAGTAACTTCTCATCCTGGGACTAAACGATGCACACTCCTATCTCCCTAAAATCCTCGCCTTACCGGTTCAAAAACGCTCCGGGACTCCAAAACGAAAACGGCGCGAGAAGCAGTTCCGTACATCAGACCAACCCAGACACGAGACGGCTAAATCGTTAAAAGCTCTCTAAATGTTTAGTGATTGGTGGTTTTATCACAAACGACTGTCTCCTACTACGTCATGGACACATCGCTAATGTTTGCTTGATGTTCGGTTGATGAGTAAAAGCCAAAATTAAAGCTCCCTCTCTTTTATTGCTATTCAGGCCTGCACAGAAAAACTCATCGCCCACCTGCCCGTTGTCGGCTGTGACTTGTATACTTTTCGTGTCAACTTCTCGTCGTCTCCTGATGAGGCGTCAGCCGTCGTCGCGACCTCCAGAGCGGCCAGAAAGCGGGCGAAATCTCATCCCTCTCCGCCATCTTTCATTGAGGTTTCCAACGTGCAGTTTATCGTGCAGACTTTCAATCCCTCCTTCAGCTACTTTGAGTTATTTTCCCGCTTCGCTGCCTTCTTCTCGGCCACTCTTCTCCTGGTAAGACTTGCGCAAATTGTTTTATTTAGCGCCAGGTAAATAAAAAGAAGGACATTTTTGAGTAATTCATTTGACTGAATCGTGAAAAACTCAGCGACCTAGTTGAGAGTCGAACTCATGACAGCAAGGGGAAGGCTTAAGAACAACCAAGGCTATACCCGACTGGACGTTGCAGAGGGCTGGGCATTCATGCCGGACAGTCTTACTGGGATAGATATGAGTGGTTCAGGTGAGCACTGATTACACAATCCTTTGCCATCTGCACAGAACTGACATGTGGGAATAAATCGAGAGCACTGATCTTTTATAAAATGGGCTGTGAGTCGAATTCGTCGGTCTCCCGTGGGGATTGTGCCGTTGTTGTTGTTGTTGTTGTTGACAATGATGACGGAGGTTATGAGAATCATGTATGGATGGATGAATGCGATATTTGTTCACCGCGATCCATGTTCTACCTTTAGGTTAACTACGTGCTCTTTCATTTGAGTCAATTGTTGATAACTTGGCCGCCTTTATGGAGGTCGAACCCACTCCAGCAAAGGGAAGGCTTTAGTACAACCACCAATGGTCAACTGAGTTACGAGGCCCTTACCAGTCCATGA